TGTGGATACGTGTGTCCATGTGCAAACCAGCATGTTCGTGCGTCCATGTGCAATGGAGTTGCACACTCTGACACGCATGGACACATGTGTCCACATGCAATGGACCTGCATGCTCACATGCGTGTGGATACGTGTGTCCATGTGCAAACCAGCATGTTTGCATGGACATGCACATTGATACGTGTGTCCTTGTGCAATGGAGTTGCACACTCTCACACGCATGGATATATGTATCCGCATGCAGTGGGCCTGTTTGCTCACATGCATGTTGATACGTGTGTCCTTGTGCAAACCAGCGTGTTTTCATGGACGTGCACGCTCACATGCGTGTGTATACATGTGTCCATGTGCAATGGATTTGCACACTCTCACACACATGGACACATGTGTCTGCATGCGATGGGCCTGATGCTCACATGCATGTTGATATGTGTGTCCATGTGCAAACCAGTGTATTTGCATGGATGTGCACGCTCACATGTGCATGAACACACATATCTATGTGCAAACCAGCATGTTTGCATGGATGTGCATGCTCACATGTGCATGAACACACATACGCATGTGCAAATTGGTGTGTTTGCATGGACGTGCGCACTCACAGGTGCATGAACACGCGTGTCCATGTGCAAACCAGTGTGTTTGCATGGATATGCACACTCCAATGTGCATGAACACACGTGTGCATGTGCAAACCAGCGTGTTTGCATGGATGTGCACACTCACATGTGCATGAACATGTCTATCCATGTGCAAACCAGCGTGTTTGCACAGACCTGCATGCTCACACGCGTAACCCGCGCACGCACACGCGTTCCTGCACACGCGTGTGCACACACACGGACATGCTCACACCACACACACCCGCCCCCCACCACGAGCGCGCGCAGCACCCGTGGGTCCACGTCCCCCGTGGGTACCCAGGGAGCACCCAAGGGTGCCGTGGCGGCCCCCAGGACACCACAGGGCAGATTTAGGGTGCCAATATGGACAGAGCAAAGGTGACCAGCACGAGTTAAGGTGACCCCCATGGGCAGCGCTC